GGCTGCGTTCGGCCCTAGCCTGTGAGGAGTAACCTCCTTCCCATGTTTTCCAGTCGCTGGTGTAGTCCTGGGGTTTATGTCAGAGAGCGTGGGAGCGCCCTGTCTAACCTCTTGCGTGATGTTACTTGTGTCCTTTTATTATTCTCCTTCCTCAAGGGAACTCCCGGCTTTCTGTCTGGGGTTTTTTTTTTTTTCTTTCCTATCAGTTTTCCCAGGGCTGCTGTTACTTTCCTTTCTCATCTCTGAATTTCTTCCAGTAGTTGGTCGTTTTGTATTTGTTGACGTGAAACACCTCCCATGAAGCCTGGCTGGCATAGAGCCTACAATGCACTTTTGTCCCTGCCTGTATTTTTTACCTAATTATGTAGTTCTAAAATGAGGTAAGAAGGAGTAACATGTTGAAACTGGAATGCATTAATGTTAATGACATGCAAAAAAAGTCTTCAGTTTTCAGGTATGGTGTACAAATAGAAACCTAATTTTACCATACAGAAATAGGGAAAACTGCAAGCTACAAGGAAAAATATCTGAACATGACACTTTGATGTGTATACTTTATAAGGTAATTGACAGCATGGTACTGGGGACCACAAGTCAGTTTGGCTTGCACTACAGAGCCCTGTAGTATCTCCTCATAATAGGTACATTCTGAAACTGTGTGTGAAATCAATCATGGAAATTTTGAAGGTCAATAATAATAAAATTGTTATAATTTATCATTTAAACATTTTGGGGGTTTTTTTGCTATCTACTCAGACTTATTTCATATGTTTTCATGCTGATGGATTGTATTATTGCAGGGGGACACAGGGGGATAGGACTTTTTCTTTCACCCCAAGACCCCTTTCAAATTTCCAGAGGCTATATCTTTTTTTTTTTTTTTCATTCAGGCCCTCTTAGTTCTGCTGCTGAGCCTTTTTGCCATGATGAAAACTATTTGTTTAGGCTTTTTTGTTTGTTTGTCTCCTTGACGGTTTTAGGTCTGAGGAAAAAAGTACATTGCATCTCAAGACTGCTTAGTTTCTTTATTAACGTTCTGTGGGGGACTTCGCTGGAGGCATTTTGGAAGGCTTAATAAATTATGTGAACTAGTTCTCTTTTATGTTATGGAGACATTCCAGGACTCTTAAGATAATGATTTTCCTTTGCAAAAACTGCTCGTTAGACCTTATCAGATCATGGCAATCCAGATTTTTCTAGTGTTCTGTTTTTAATTATTGATGCAACGCATTTGCCTAGGAGGCTTAATAGAAGTATTGCTACCTTTCAGTTTTCTAGAGTACTTCCAGTGTTCATTCTGATTTTTTTTCTTAGCCAGTCTGCTATGGCATACCTGAACTTTGGAGGTCCTTGGTGAATATTTCACTCCTTTTAAATTACTTAGGTTTTCAACATAATTTTCTCTGATGCTGCGTTTTTGTTCTGAAAATGAACAAAAGGTTGAATGCATCATTAAGAAGGCAGAGATGTTTATTTCTTCTTTAGATCTTTATCTTTTTTAATGTCTCTTTTTAATCTCTAAGTGTATGGTGGTATTAGTGAGCCATTTAAGTATTTTTAAAGGCTTCCTGCATCTTGTACATCTAGGAAATTCCTGTTGGTTGTTTAACCTTAAAAAAAAAAAATCCTTTGAGTGTCATTTTGGCCCTTCTTGTTTTTCCCTCTTAATTGCTGTTGTCATTCATGTATCTCTTTATAGATTTGACTAGCATTAAATTTCTGAATTTGTATGTTTTCTATCTGACCCAACAGTTTCTCAAACTCTTAATTAAACTTGGGTTGATTTTTCTCTTGGCTGTCCTGGTGCCCTCTTTCCTTGGTTGCCTGCATATCTTTCATTTGTTTGTTTTTTTTCTAGTAACCTCCAGGACACTTTAATTTGTTAAGCAAAAAGATTCTGAATTCAAATTGTCACAAGGAGAAATAGATTAGGATGTTTATTGGAAGACAGATCAGAAGTAACTATGCTTAAGAACTTTGCAGATACATGGAAGAAAAGCTTGGCTTTGTAGATGTGAGATTCTCTTATTGTTTCTTTATTAAAGTTGTCAGAAAACAAAAAACACAATTGCAGATAATCAAAACAGTTTTGAAAATTTAGGACTTTGTGATTCAATTTGAAAAAAAACATTATTAGTGTCTTAAAATTTTACTATAGTAATATAGTTAGCTGATTGTACTGAATGATTTGGTGCTGCCTAGAAATATAGGGGAGTTAACTGAAAGCTTTGGGTTCAGAGGGATTGCTCTGTTATACATTTGACCTGAAGTAGCAGGTATGATTCGGTAACCTGTTAATAATTGTTGTAGATCTACATGATAACTGTTCTATTTGCTTGTTAATAGGCTGAATATTTACCAGAAATCACCAAGGACTCAGTTTATCCTGTAGATGCCAAGGAAGAACTCTTGGATGAATGTGAGAGTATTTGGAAGCAGATGGAAGAGGTATGCAAATCACAAGTGATAGACTAGATTTGTTGTAAACTTTCCTCAACATTTTTTTGTTCATCTCTTCATTCTTCACTGCATGCTTATCTCACCCCCTCCAAAGAAACCACTGCAACAAAACAAGAAAAAAAAGCAGGGGGCAGGGGGGACCAGAAGAGAAGATCTTCAGAAAGGCCAAAAGTAGAAGTGGTGGCAGGGGTGAAGAATGCCTTGCAGTGTCAAACTTTGTTTACAGTGTGCTGATGTTACGATTTAGCTAAATAGAATGGGAGTATATGTTAAAACTAGGGAAAATTAAACAATTTACTTGTGTTCTGGTAGTACCAGCACACTGAGACTTGAGATCCTTCTCTCTTTAGCCTCAAACAAGATAGGATTTAACTGCTGTTCATAAGTACTTTCGATCTTAAAGGAGAGAGAATGGGAGGAGAAAGAGGCTTAGAAGGACAATGATGTTAGCATACACTCATGCAAACTGACAGTTACATCCTCAAGAATAAAATTTCTCTCTCAATATATGGTCCAATATGGTAATAATAACATTTTGGAGCAAGTTATTTTTATTTACAGGAATCACAGGAAAGAAACTTTAACAGTTCTGAGGGAATGTTGTGCATCCTGTAAGATTCTGCTGAGTCTGAAAAGTCATGTTCTAAACTATATTTTGAGAGTCTTAATTGCTTCATTCAATTTTATGTGGTATTTATATGCTATTTGCTTGAGTTCTGAGCTGTAGATTCAAAGCATTAAGAGTATCAGAAACTGAAGTAAAAATATTTCCAAACTTAAAGTAGAACAAACTATAGACAACCACAGTGCAATGTTTTTACAGAAGTAGATTTAAAAAAGACTAATGTGATTTTTATTTGTTGTTACATGTAAAGTTATGTTAATATTGAAAAAGTGACAGAGAATTCTGTGTCAAGGTTTCTGAAGTACTGTAATAACTTATCAACAGAAGTTTTGTTTGGCACCACTTCCGAGGATGTGAACTTTCTTTGAAATTTTCAGATTAGAAGGGAAGTTAGAATGTTTATTATTTTGAATTTAATTGAAAATCTTTGCTATCTTGTATCTTGTTCCCAACATCCCCAAAACAATACAGGCAGTGATAATTTGCATTGTTTTTGGAAGTTGATAAAAACAGTAGGATTTTTATTACTTTGTGATTGTTGAATCCTGGATGCATGCATGTTTCAGCAAAAAGTTTAAACAACTAGTAGTCATTGAATTAGCTCCTAGGTACCTCAAATCATACACTTTTTGTTAGCTGCTACTTTTCTACTTTTCAATTAATTGAAGTTCTACTGTGGTATGATTTAAAAATATTTCTTAATTTGCTGTTCTGGGTCAGGCTCTGAGGGATGTGGTAGGAGCCAAATAAAAACAGTTTTTTCTATGTTAAACAACTTTTGTCGGAATTTCTAAGCATCATGTTTCTTTCTTACAAAAGGGAAGAGTAAATAAATATTGTTTGTGTTTTGTTTGTTTTCTACCAAGTGTCAGAGCAAGCTAATGCATCTAGGAACGGAAACACTGTTAAAATCAGATGCCAAGGTAAGACAGTTTTTTCTTATTCTCCACAAAATATTTAGTTTTCTGTAAAGATATGGTGTGTTTCCAAAAGAAGGAAACTAAATTATCTTCACTTATTCTCTAAAGCTGACAGTTTTACTCTTATTAACTTTGAAGCTGTATTGTGAAGTAAGCTTCTAGCAAATACTGGAAAGTTGCATTTATGTATAGCAAAGAGTCTAGATACAGTCCTGCCATGACTGATGAAAACGACTAACATAGGCAGCAATATGGAGGGATCTGTAACTTAATACCTATTTGGACTATTTCTTAATCAGTTTATATGTAATTTGTGAAACTATATGGATCCTTTTAGTTTTAGTCTGGAACTTTGCATTTGCAAATTACAGTTGTTCCCCATTTGTGGATTTCACTAGGAAACTGATGTGCTTGAATTAGAAATGAACTGAGTGATGCTGAGTACATGAAAGTGAGTTCCTGTATCCCTCAAATTTTGGGGAACAATGACTTTTTCTTTTGGGGAAAAAAAGACAATGCTGGCTCACTGTTCAGTTGTTTGTAAATTATAAATTCTATTTTAAAGGTTCCTATTTAGATGAGGACTCCAAATTTGGAAAGTATAAATAGTTAAACATTGGGCTGGTTGGGTGAAATATGTAGGTCTTATAAATCTCCATCTTGTGTGACTTCAGTAAGAGCATTCAGATAGTTAATTCAATACACTTGAATGAACAATTAACAAAACAAGAACTTTTCTTCAGAGGTGTATCTGTTGAATACATTCAGATGTTTAATTACTATGTAATTACTAACATTTACCTCTTGCTAGTAATAAACTGTGTTCTAAACTATTATTTAATTGGAATAAGTAAATGAAGATGCATATTCAAATGTATAAAATACAATCTTTTTCTCCTTTTAGGAATTTGGATGAAATCCTATAAGTAAAAATAATTTTTTTATAACTTTAATTGGGTGTAGACTGAGGTTTTTATATTTCTTTGCAGCTTTACTGAAGCACATCATACCCTCGTAATTAATACTTAAACTTTCAAGATATGCTTTTCTTAAACTGTCATAGCAAGACAATGATTAAATGGAGTTGCAAAAATGAAGATTAATTTAAGATTGCACTTCATAATAGAAAATAGGGAAGAGACGAAAAGGTCATGTTATATCCTCTGTCAGCAACTTTCATGGGATTTTATTGCAGCCCTAACATAAGCACTTGTATTGACCCAGGAAACTACAGACCTGTTAGTCTAACCTCAGTTCCTGGAAACATTATGGAGAAGATTATACTGGGTGCTATTGAAAGACATTTAAAGACCAATGCAATCATCAGGCACAGTCAACATGGGTTCGCAAAGGGAAAGTCCTGTTTAACTAATTTGATATCCTTCTATGTTAAGGTCACTCACCTAGTGGACGAAGGGAAGGTGGTGGATGTAGTTTTTCTGGATTTTTAGTAAGGCTTTTGACACTGTCCCTCACAGCATCCTTCTGGATGTGTTGTCCAGCTGTGGGATGAGCAGGTACACAGTGTGCTAGGTGAAGAACCAGCTGGATGGCGGGGCTCAAAGGGTTGTAGTGAATGGGGCTACATCTGGCTGGCAACCGGTCACCAGCGGTGTTCTTCAGGGTTCAATTCTAGGGCCAGTTCTGTTCAATATATTTATCAACGATCTGGCTGCAGGAGTTGAATGCACCATTAGCAAGTTTGCTGATGATACCAAACTGGGAGGTGCTGTTGACTCTCTGGAGGGACAAGATGCCTTGCAGAGGGATCTAGATAGATTGCAGCATTGGGCAATCTTCAATGGCAATCAACACTTAACAAGAACAAATGTTGGATTCTGCACTTGGGACGGAGTAATGCCAGGCACAACTATAAACTGGGAGAGGAGTGGCTGGAGAACAACCCTGCAGAAAGGGATCTAGGGGTGCTGGTCTGATGCGAAGGTCAATACAAGTCAGCAGTGGGCCCTGGCAGCCAAGAGGGCAAACCACATCCTGGGGTGCACCAAACACGGTATAACCAGCCAGTCAAAAGAGGTGATTGTCCCGTTGTATTCAGCATTGGTGTGGCCTCACCTTGAGTACTGTGTGCAGTTCTGGGCCCCACAACTTAAGAAGGATGTGAAGGTCCTTGAATGCGTCCAGAGGAGGGCAACAAAGTGAAGAAAGGCTGAGGAATTTGGGCTTGTCTAGTTTGGAGAAAAGGAGGCTGAGGGGCAACCTCATTGCTCTCTACAGCTTCCTGAGGAGGGGACGTGGAGAAGGAGGTTCTGAGCTCTTCTCCCTGCTATCCAGTGATGACACATGAGAATAGTTCAAAGCTGTGTCAGGGGAGGTTCAGACTGGACATTAGAAAGTGTTTCTTTACCGAGAGGGTGGTCAAACACTGGAACGGGCTTTGCAGAGAGGTGGTTGATGCCCCAAGCACGTCAGTGTTCAAGAGGTGTTTGAACAATGCCCTCAATAATATGCTTTAACTTTTGATCAGCCCTGAATTTGTCAGGCAGTTGGACTAGATGATCATTGTAGGTCCCTTCCAACTGGGACTATTGTATTGTATTTTCATTGTAGCTGGCAAAGAAGCTATGTGTTTTTTCCTTGCTGTTGACATTGTCACTAATGTTCATTCCTTAATCACCTCAAGACTGTAATCTTGCAGTGTACTCTTTGTGGTTTTATCCTTTAAATTTGGGGACTGATTCTGGTCTGTGATGTAATGGATTAATTACTGAGCAGCATACTTTGCTAGGAATGTATATAGGGCATGAGAGGGAGACATCTGTACGTATTTGCTGTATGTATTTGTCTGTTGAAAAGACAGTCCTTGATTTCAGGTTGCTGAATGGTAGTATTAATTTATCTGAGAGTTTTTTGTCCAGTTGCTGGAATATCTAGAATGTTTCGTACATCCTTTTTTATCAATTTTAAAGGAACAAAGAATGAGCTGATGGAATTGTCAAGAGTAGTGCTCCATTACAAAAGAGATGACACCACCTGATGTAGAAAATAAGAAATGTTTGTATGGTGATCATTTCTTTTGCTTTGGGTTTGTTTTTCTATTTTATTGCCATTTTATTTTTCTTCCTTATTGTGAAAATGCTCATTTCCTAATATTTCACTATAATTAGTCATTTCTTGCTAAAGACAGGTCATTTTATTATAATATTGTATATGTGTATAGAGTGAAAATGAGAGAAATACTGTCCACCTTCAGTCTATGGAAGAGGTCAAGACTCATATGGTTATATCATATTAGGGGGGAGACCTTATCGCGCTCTACAACTACCTGAAAGGAGGCTGTAGCGAGGTGGGTGTCGGTCTCTTCTCCCAAGTAACAAGTGATAGGACGAGAGGAAATGGCCTCAAGTTGCGCCAGGGGAGGTTTAGATTGGACATGAGGAAAAATTTCTTTACTGAAAGAGTGGTGAAACATTGGAAGAGGCTCCCCAGGGAAGTGGTTGAGTCCCCATCCCTGGAGGTATTTAAAAGACGTGTAGATGAGGTGCTTAGGGACATGGTTTAGTGGCATGGTGGTGTTGGGTTGACGGTTGGACTCGGATGATCTTGGAGGTCTTTTCCAACCTTAATGATTCTATGATTCTATGTTTTCTTTTCCTTTCTCTTATAAGGTTGTCTCTTGAAGATGCACTTCATAACGTTATTTTGAGTAGTGAAAAGCTAAGCCTAAGTTGTCAATTCTTGATATTTTTATTATAAGAACTTGGCTGATGATTCTTAGTATATTTTTCTCTTTAGTTGATGTAAAGCCAAATGCAATCTGCAGTGCTTTTTACAGAATGCTTGACCATATCAGCAGTACCTTTTGTATTTAAATGTATGCTTAATTTATCAGGTTACTTGTAATATGATATCTATATGTAATTTACAATGTATTTGAAGAAGTTATAGGTGTAGTCCTCAGTTTCAGGAAGTGGAATAGTAATAATGAATATATGCTTTCTCCAGAACATAGTAAGATAATAAAATAAGTACATCTTTAAAAATCTATGGTTGTTTAATTCGGGGGTTTTTTAATAAACTTGTGAAGTGATGTTTTTCTTATTGCTCCTATATTTTCAGTGATTACAGTGAGCTAGAGCACTAGTTCTAAAGCATTTTTTGTTGAGTCCACAGATGTGGTTTTGATAGATTTATTTGAGTACTGGTTTTTTGGAAGCCAATCTTTTGTGTAGTCATCAAGCAGAGTCCATTTAACCTTAAATGTGTATCAACCATGCATCTGGTATAGTGGGGATGTGAAGTATTGTCATTGGTTCTAGTGGCTCATATTCAGTTGTGGTCATTGTCTGATATTACAGAAGAAATGAGGAGAAAAATTCCAACTCTGACTACTTCTGATTTCCTTCTTTTGAAAAAAGAATAAACATGTTTCTTGATCCCTGCAAGTGGCTTTTTAAACCTTTTCAAGGAGTAAGTGGTCTATTGTAATAGATGCTCTTTTGTTTTCTGCTGTATAAACTTAATAATTGAATTTCTATCCCGTTCTCTCTCATTTGACTCCAATGCAACTCAACACACTTCAAGAGCTGCTTCTTTTCTTGTTATACAGCTTTCCTTGTTAATGACGCGACTGAAAGCTTTAACAGCGGAATATAATCAATGGCAAAAAAGAAGTCCTGAATGTAAGTAACTGCTTCCACGTAAGGTATACTCATACAAATTTCTGCAAAATCTCTTTCATCTAGGCATCTTAAACTGTGTATATATCAAACGTCTGCTGACTGTATTTTCATACTATAACTACTTAAATATTAAATTAAATACTTCCCACAGTAGCATGTATGTTTCATTTCTATATTCTTTTTGCACTTCAGTTCTAAATGAACTTAAAATTCAAAGTGAATTCTACTTAACTTAATATTATGATTCTGGACAAATAAATGCATGATTCATATCACCATTCATCAGTCAGTTTAATGGAAGAATAACAGTTAGCAGATCTCCTAACAAAATAACAACAGTTCATTGTGCTGTTACCCTCATTCAGGTTTCTCCTTTCTGTGATGGTTTCTTCTCCATCTTTCATTTGTATTTCCTTTTTAGGACAGAACTACTTTGGCAGAGAATTTTGTCTTCATTTTGTCTTTTAAGAAGTTGATATATCTTTTTTTTCTTTGCATGTATTGCTAATAAACTAACAATAATTTACCCAGACATGTTTTTAACCATACCTCCTTTGGTTTTTTATTACTGTGTTGTGGTTTAACCACAACATACTGCTTCACAAAAGTGTGTTGTATTATGATGTACTAGCTGAAACTTAGAAGTAAATCTTTAGCGGTAAGCCCGTTACACCATAATAAAATATCTAGCTTGGATTTAACAGGGGTCAGAGATTTCAGGTCAAGAAAAGGTGGTAAAAGATACTCAGTTTATTTTAACAACACAGGAATCCAGATTACTTATTGATCCTGAGAAGCACAAACCACTGAGACAAGTGGTAGCTCTTACATTTGTTAGGCATTATCAGTCAAATGGTATAAATTCCTCAGTTCTTCAAAATTTTTTGTACATAAGCATCAGTGCTGACTGATTTCACTCTGTTGCAAGGCTGATGTGCCTAGACATGGAAAATAAAACCATTTAGAATCTAAGTGTGAGTAAAGTAATCTCTTTTTTTTCAGATGTTCCATTTGGAGACCACTAAAACAGTTCACACTACGCTATCATTAGTATTCTGGTAGCACTCACTGTTATGTCTCCTGTCAAGGAACCATTAGCACCTTTCAACCCAGTAAAACTTATTAGTTAATCTTTAAATGGATACATTGACTCATTTGAATACTTTTATGCCAGAAGAGGCTTGGTTTTCTTAGTGTTTACAAAATGATAGGAATGTGTTTTAGACAGCAAATGGTGATTTCCAGTATGTTGTAACTTGGCCAAATTGGAATGCATTTTCAGACAAACATGAAAGAAGCTGGAGAAGTGACTTTAAAAGTTCATTTACTTGCTGCATATTGTGATCAAATAATAGGAGCTGGAAAAAAATAAGTATTTCTTTCTTATAAATAGATATTGTTGCTCTGTTAGAATAATTTCATAGTTCATGTGCTTTGTAAACCCATCTCTAAAAATGGTGAGCCTCAAATGCTTCTTAGAGGTATGTAGACCAGAAGTATGACAGTGAATGAATTTGGGAAATACTGGTTCTTGGCTGCTGCTCATGAATACAACTGCTGGATTAAAACAAATGAATTGAAAGCACTTACAGTTTTTATCTGGATAAAAAAACCTGGAGATGTTAGGCTTCCTGACTAAAATATGTAATTATTTTAAACTTTAAGCTCTTTACTTAAATATTCTTGGGGCTTGACCTGTTTTTATTGGCTTGCTGACTTGCTTTGCTCAACCATTCTTACTTGTTCCCAGGTGATAAGATTTATTATTAGAAATCTTAATTTTGTACTAGAGAAATGATCTATGCATATTATAATGCAAATAATATTTTGCAGCCAAAGCTTTGCCTTTTTGGCTATCTTTCTGAGGGAAGAAAAAAGAAGTTGCTGCTAAGAATTTGAATAGAGTTATAGTGCTTGTATGAAAATGAAGTCTACTGTGCTTACATCTTTTCTGTCCATCTTGGCTCCTTTCTACCTACTGTTTGTTTTGAAGGAGGAATTACTTAATTGAAAACATTGCCTGAATTTATCTAAATAGAAGTAGCAGAAATACTAATTTCATACAATTTACTAATAGAGCATGGATGTCAGGCTGTCTTGTTACTTTGGTTTCTGCTTTTAGTAATGGCCAATTAATTTCGTGTAAATGAGGGCCTGTCAGCATTTAAACTTTAAACCTTATTTTCAGAGGTTGTAACTTGGCAGTTCTACATTTCTTTGGGCACAACATTGGCAAACAGACTTGAATCCACAATGCAAATTTTATTTTTGCAAAGCTTTTAGTTTAGTCTTTTGTTTGTTCTCAATTTCTGGTACTATTTATGTAGCTCTAGAGCTGCTAAATCAGCTGAATTAAAACTTCTTAACAAGCGTTTGGCTCATAAAAATAGAATTTAACTTCTACTTTTGCAAAATGAGGAAGTGGAAGCAACTATATTTTAAACCATATAAACCAGTTGTGGTCTCTGCATAATTTCTATTTTTCTTTGCAAAATACCAGTATTCTGCCAAATTCCTCCTATTTTAATAGGAGTTTCTGTATAAACATGTGCATAGTAGTTGCTTTTACATTCTCAGCATCTGGTAGTATTTTGCTTAGTAATTGTACTATGTATCACTGGGCAATTCTGTTTGACATTTGATTTTTGCAAGTGCAGTGATTCATAACTGAAAAAGCTTTAGCTGATAGTAGACAGGGCAACGTGTGTTCTTTACAGTAGCACCTGCCATAAATGTGTTGTCCCAGTGTCTTATATCTGCACTGTTCCTTCACTAAATGAGTGTTAGTGATTTCTTTCCTAGGAAGATGTGACCTTCTATTCTGATACTCACACAATATTAATATTGAATGGGAAGTACATACTCAGGATTAGGTATCTAAAAATGAAGAAGTGTTACAAACCAATAGTAGAAATTGATAATTCCAGGTAGTGAGGGCTCACAATAATCATGTTTGGGGGCGGGGGGGGGGAGTGGCAAGGGGAAGAGTTGTAGGGTTTCTTGCAATATGCCAGTGAATGTGAATAAAAGCACACCAATGAATTTCATCATGTGTATGTGGGATATTCGTGTCACTAAAGAAATATTGCTCTAATAATAGCCCAGACAACTACCTCCCACAGCTCTTAAACATAAGCTTAATTTGGGAGCACTCTACTCAAATTTTGTGTCAAGATTTGGAGACAGTTATTCTTTCTAAGTAAAAGGGATTTTCTTGTGACATGTAATTTAATATATTTTGAACTCAGTAGTTTTGCTGACTTTCATCTCAGAACAAATGCTGCTTTTAAAACTACGAATCTAAGGCTTCTCAAAATTTGTGGAGATAAAAACTAAAATTACTTTACCAAAAAAAGTACTTTTATGAACTTAAGAAATCAACTGTGTTGTATTTAGGAGATATTTAATGCTTTTATGAGAGGGTTAAGGGTTTCCCTTATTGTTAAAGGAAAAGCTTTTATTGAAGTAATTATTTTTAAGATTACAGATTTGGAGCCCAAGTTTGGGCAAAAAATATCCTCATCATATTAAATTTAAATCTGTTAGAGTAGCTTTCATTTCTTCTGTTAATAGATCCAAATGCTTCACTTCTGAAAAAGTCAAACGTTTATGCAGATGCTGCAAGTTGACATGGAACTGAGAATTGATTGGAGTCCATTGAAGGCTATCAAATACAACAATTCACTTTTTATTCAGAAAATCCATGAGCCATAAATCACTGCATTTTGCAGAAGCATTCTGGGGAAACATTACCACATCCTTGAATAGTACTGTACTTTCCCTTAAGTTCTGCTGTTGCTCAGAGTTGGAGTTAGGATATTGGCCTTGCTGGGCCTTTCATCTCCCTACATGTAGCTGTTCCTGTGAACAGTAAGGATGGTGACATGCTTTTGAAGTTCTTTAAATCTGATAGGTCTTACAACCCTGATCAAGCATTTGGGAGGCTGTTTAACGAGGAATTGGAAGACTGGAAGATTTTCATTGCCCACATTGGTAATGTTGATGGAATCCCTTCCACTGAAAATATCAGGCTTGCTTATCATGAAGTATGACTAGTTCACATTTCAATATTATGTACCTGAGCTACTTCAGGTATAAAAAAATAACGCAGAAGCATTAACACCACCACATTCTTTTTCAGCCTAATTTAACTTGCTGAAAAGTGACAGTAGGTTCACCCACAGGACACCACAAAATGTGGTTAAACTGCTGCTGACAGCCAAGCTAGTTTTTTAGATGCTACACAAGTTCCTCTCTAGCTAGGCTGCTTTTTGATATAAACAAGTCTATCATCCAGTGCAAAAACACCAATTTATTTTATTTTTCAGTAATTTCTACCAATCAAGATGTACTCTTAGCATTAGGAAAAGAAGAGGTAAGTCTGTTTGTTAAGAGATAATAAAATTCCATTGAAAAAAAAATTAAAAAGTATATACAATTGCTGCATTTTTCTATGACTACTCCTGTGGTGGACTACTGCTAAGATACTCTGTATGTTTCTTTAGGCATTGTTTTAATGTTTTTTCTTCCCCTGTACTATAACTACTAAAATTTCCTAGTTGTAATGAATGATCTTTTAAACAAAAAGTCTTTATATATTGCATTTCATACTTGATATAAAGTAATGTGACATTGTTACACACAGTATTCTTAGATCTGGAGTTCTGTGGCAATAATTTGCAAATATTTTGAGTTCTTCCACCTTTGGAAGAAGGAGCAAATCAAGAATGTCTTAGGGGTAGCATTACACTATATTGATTGGACATTGGTATGCAACATGACCTGAGAATATTCCTGTGGCTATGGCTTCAGGGAAAAAAAAAGTCTTTTTGGTTTTCTTCTTCCTAGCAGCTTTCCTCCCTCCAGTATCACTCACAACAGGGAACCCAGCTCCTGTTCAGAGTCACTATTAAGTTGTTTGGTTACACACTTTCATTTGACTGGATTGCTATGGCATGTTTGATCTGATATCCCATTTTGTGGCCTCTTTTGTTGAGGATTCTAATATTTTTTTGAAATGTTGCGTATATAAAGCATATTTGCTTCTGTAGAATATTTTCACAATTTTTATTTCTTTGAGCTAAATAAAAGTTCTCATAGTTTGTATGGAAGGAGACAAAATACATCCGGATCATAGGTTTATATTAAAAAAAAACCAACCCATAAACTATTAGAAATACTACTTCGTAGAACATAATGCACTAATGAAAGACCTAGTCCACTGAGAGCCCACTGTTCCCTATCTTTAGCAGCGCATATAACTTCTGGCTGCAGTAGTTTTATTTCTCCCCCTTTTCTCTCCCAAATATGTCCATATCACTGAGGACCATTTATTCATGGATGCAATTAGTCTTTCTTTGCAGCATCTTTGTTTTCCAAGTGCTATCTTATGTTGGTGCAATTAGCACGGATTCATTCTTGCAAACAGCTGCAATGATTTAGACAACACAGCCCTGGTGCTGTAGATGTCTTCTCCTCAGTCTTTCATCAGATGAGCAGTTCATGTGTGTGCTCCATAATCTGCTTCAGGTAAAATCAACTATGTTGTTTTACAGAGCTTCAATAAGACATTAATGAGCAACTGGTGACAGTAAGATTTTAAATAGCTCCAGCTGGATTTAAAAATAGTGTGTCACTCTATGGCCATATTTCTTAAGAAATTACAGGTAATTTTGGCCCTCTTTACCAGATTTACAGATGTAACCTTACATAGAACAAATACTACAGACTGGGCTATCTGCAAACTGTAGGTTTACTTTTACTTTTTTATAGTTGCAGAAAGTAAAGAATGATCTTGAAATGGTGCTGTCAACAGTTCAGTTAAAGAATAAACAACTGGAAGAAGAACTGAAAAGGTAATATAATAATTTGGACTTATGAATGCTGTAAGCTTTTTTACCACTTTTTTTTGACTGTCCAGGAAAACTATTTATCTGTTATGTCACTTCCTACTTTTCATGTTTCAAAGAGAACAGCAGTGGCATGAGGAACAGGAGCAGATACTAGATACTCTTAATGGAATTGAAGAAGAGACAAAAACTCAAGTTGAACAACTTTCCGAACAAAGGTATTTCTACAGTGTTGAGTTTTTATATTGAAGAATTTAAATATCAACAAGAGCAAACAAACTCTTAAAACATACTCCTTGTTTTGTTAAATAGATCAAATAACTCAGTAATCCATATTTGAAACATGGAAAATATTGCTACTATCTGCTTATATCCTGTGATTGAAGATGTTGAACTTATAACAATAGAAAATAAGGGATTTTTTTTACTTAAGAAGAACTTTTTAATTATTTTATTGAATTTCATATTCTATTGCTATGTTTTTACTATTAGTCTGAATACTAGAGTATTTCATGAACTGCAAAGCAAAATGTTGAAACTAAAGATATATAAGGAAGAACTCTTGGATGCTCTGGGTGAATTCCTAGAAGAACATTTTCCGCTTCCAGAGAAGGGTGGAAGTGCTAAAAAGAAGGTAAGATTTTCTTAGTAATTATTAAATTTGGAATGTTCAATTTCTATTTAATTAGATGCAATATCTTTTTAAAGTCACTAGCATAGAATCTGCAGTTATACTGAAGTAACTATAGTTCTTACAGCTGATCTTTTAGGTTTAATTGATATTTTTCAGGTTAGTTTATATTATTTAAGGCTGTTCCCAGCTGGATATTTTCTTTTTTAATGCATATATCCTTTACCCAATGAGATGCATAGCAATGTATTGTATTTCTTACTGAACTGCAAGCTGTGCCAAATTTGGAAACGGTGAGGGGTTCAGTCCAAATTGTTCCATTTCTTCTTTACTGGACTAGGCAAGTGGATTCATATTTTCCTTGGCAAAGCAAATTTTAATTGTCTAACAATGTTTTTGGAACAGTAATAAGAACAAGTGTTTATAATTACAGTGTAGTTTGGAATGTTAACCATCAGTTTCTGTTCAGGCAAACTGGGCCAAAAATTATCTTAACACTTTAGGGAAAATAGGCAGTCAGGGAGTATTTTGCATAATAAATTCAAAGTCTGCAGTAAAAATAAAACTTTTACCATTGCTATGTGAAAGAATAATTACAAAAAAGCTACAAAAAGGCAGGGGTTGATTTTGATTTCAGACACACTTCAGAATACAGAAGTAAAAAGGATTTCTTTAATCCAGTTCCCTGTAATTTCAGACAACTGCATAATATAATTTCTTAAATATTATCACTGAGGTCCATTTTAAAACAAATCATTTTTTACTACTGTTTCTATTGGGGTTTGTTCTAGTACTTCAGTACTCTAGTTAGAAACTGTCCCCCAACTTCCAGTCTAAATTTATTTATGTCTAACCCAGATCCATGTATTCTTCACCAGTATTGTCCTTAGAATAGCTCTTTTTCTTTCTTATGTTTATTCCTCCTGATATATTTATAGACAGCAATCTTATACCCTCTCTTTCTTTGTTTTGCTAATTGAACTAGCAAGCCTTTCTTGTTCTCCTGTAAGATAATTTTTTTCAATTCCCTGGCTTATCCTAATAATATCCATTTTCTATATTTGTTTCCAATTGGATTAATCTTTTTTGGAACCTGGTAAAAAAACAATATTATGAACAAAACTACTAGCTAACAGTCATCACAAAAGCAACTGATTACACCCTTGTCTTTTTCTTCCTGTTATTTCCAAGTGATGAACCCTAGCTTTTAATTAAAAAAAAACTTGTTTTTGCATAGAAGTACATATTTTGCACATAAAAATACCAAATGGAGCCTTCAAGGCATGATGTCCCTTTTCAAAGTCTTACTCAACCATCTTCAAACATCTTATTCTATTATATCTTAGTTCTTCTGCATATCAATGCCTTCCAGTTTCCTGCTACTACTAAATGTAGTAATATTACAATATTAACAATGTACTTTGTTCCAACATTAAGAAATTAAAGCTTCGTTTAAATTAAAGCTTAATTAACCCTCGTGTTTCAATCGTATATTTCCTGATTTTAGCCTGATATTTCATCTCCCTATTTACTGGTTCACATTCATCTTACAATTGTTCTAGGACATGCCTCTTCAAACACTAATGACTCCCAGATGCATTTTAAGCAATTGTCCATTTTTCCCATATATATCATTATTATTTCCTTAAAAGTATATTTCCTATAATGAGATAAACCAATTTATTTGCTCCCATTTATGTGATGTCATAGAAAAGCATAGGCTGAAAGTGACCTCTCGATCTTCCATTCCACCACCATCATCAGGGTAGTGCCAATGTCAAAGTTGGATTGAGTCGCTCATGGTCATATCCAACTGTGTTTTAAATACAAGAAACAGTGAATTCATGTGTGTGTTCCAGAGTTCTGAAGAAGATTTTATGTAAAATCTCCTGCCCCAGAGTAAAATCAACTGCTTGAATTTTCTCAGCCTCTCTTATACCTACTGTCAGAAATTCTTATTAGCTACCCTGCCTTCATCTCTCTTCCATGCAATTTTCCTCAGTAAAATCTAAAGAAAAAAAATCACCCAAGGTGTTTGGGATTAACCAATCCTTCCCCTGCTCACGGAAGCTCACCTTCTACCTTTCCTTTTTACTTTACTTAAATGTAAAATTTATTTTGATCCATTTCCAAGCAAGGTCTTGTCTTGTCATAGTTTTATTTATGCATTTCCTGAACTCTTGAACACAGTTTGTCTTCTAACAAGTCTCTTTCTTTCTTTTCACTCCTTGTGAATTCATAGCTTCTTCTATATCTCTTTACTCAGCTGGATCTCAATGGCTCAACTGCAGGTCCCCTGTAATCTGCATCTAAGTGATTAACTGTGAAAGCAGGAGAGACAGTCATTTTCACCTTTATTGTTTTCTTTATTGTGTCAGAAATACAAATTGACAGCATTAGCAATGAAATTTGCTGCTACATTTTTTTCAGAGCATGTTATTCACATCTATTATCAGCTTGGTTCACCACTGTGGAAGCACTGAAGTCTTAACTCTGTATATCAGTAATTTTGCTTCACTTCATGGAAGATTCTTGTGTTCTCAGCAGTTCTGTGTGAGGGCAAATGTGCAGGGCTGACATCCGTAGGGCACAGCTCCAGAGTAGTGCAAACTGCTCCAAGCCTCTGTTCTGGTTCCACCCTCCTTTCACCAGGCACCTGTGTCTGGGATTGGGAGTGGGCAGGAAGACTGAATCACAGCAGCCCAGGTTAGCTTCTGTTGCCGTGGTCCAAGACCTTTAGTATAGGTAGTGACTGAGGTAAGAATTATCTTGCATTTTAAATCTTGGATTTAAAAAAACACATTTTTTCAAGATAAGAAATATGACAAGTCATATGCTGAGGAATATTCTTTATGCCAATCTATCTCATCAAAGGGAGAAATTGCCTTTCAGGTTAAATAAATAAATGCTGAGCAAGAAGTTTGCTAGTTCTGTGAGAGTGCAAACATTTTTACACTAATAGCCTTAGAATTTTATTCTTTGTATGTCAGTTTTAGTAATTACTGAAGTCAACCTAATTTCAACTTTGAAACATGAATATTGAACCCACTACCTAAGTTACAAAGTAATATTTTTGGCCAGGGAAATACGACAGACGAGGCTATCTTCATGATTGCTCCAAAGAAGCTTTTGCAGCTGCTTAGTGTAGATTCTATTTCCTCAGCCTCGTATCAAAATAAAGGCACGAAGATAGGTATTATTGAGCCCTAGCTCTGTGGTTTGCAAGATTTCCATGGAGCAGGCAGTATGTCCCCGTTGTGGCTTTCTGAAGGTGAGAATATTAAGAACTGTGACTGGAAAAAAGCAGCCAGAACTTGCCTTTCACAAATTCTTCTTTATTGCTTATATTCTTCTGTTCCAGAAGTGGAGTTTGTATAAGGTGCTGCACATCTGTTAATATCTTAGACTTAAGCTGACATACTCAACAGCAGTGCTGAAAATACAGCGCTGGTGGCTGCTTAATCTCCTTTATTTTATTGAATGTGAAGTGGAAGGGGAAAAAGGATAAAATTGAAAAATAAAAGAATCAGGTTCACTGTGCAACAGCACAAGCAGTTTTGTTGGTATTGCTGCCTAAGGAATCCCTATCAATTTATAGGCAAATGGCTTGATCTGCTTGCTACAAATAAAAACAAGTAATCTTCTAATGGATTGCTGTACAAATGATAATTTATCAAGGACTTTTTTTAAGTTTTTAATTATTCTATTTCTTAAGCTTGGCTAATTTTTTTTTAATCGAAGTCAGAGTAAAAGTAAACAAATATTCATCAGCAAATCATGAAAAAATACTAAGGCACTATGAACTCAAGTCCTGAGCTGTGTCAAACTTGCATTGTAAACATTTTTCTAAAGTTCAAGAAAAACATTTTTTTTCCCTAACAGATCATATTCATAGAATGTTTTGCACTGCACTACATTTATAAATATGATGTACTTGGTTTTATTTAAATGTAAACCCAGGTAGATATACTATGATCACTTAAGATTAATCTTTTTTAATAATTAATTCAAAAAATATTACATTTAAAGTCCATAATATTGAACTGGTAGATGAATGATTTAAATACTACCTTTTATTTTTGTCATGACTAAATCTAAGTCTTCATCTGTTGTGTACTATGCAATCAAATAATTGTGTGATTATTTTTCTTTGTCAATTAACAATTTTCCTGACTATTTAGTTTTGGTTTCTGTTAATTTGGCTGGGGGGTGATTATCTCTGCAGAATTCTTCTGAAAAGCCAGCTGTAGAACTGATAACACTGCATGAAATTTTAGAGGTAAGATGGTTTTGTTATGTAGAGATTTGGGGGATTTTCCAATAATCAGATTGGATGATAATATATTAAAAAGATAAATAACAGTATATGATGTACAGTTAAGATCGTTAATTGAAAAGTAGAATGTTTAAGAATGTCATGTCAGATTTCTATTTTAATTCCTATCAAATTAAACCCCTAATTTTTAACAAGAGATGTGGCAATAATTTAGATAAACTGAAGATTTAGTTAAGCTGGAGAATGATTATTCCTTGTGTCTTAATTTTATAATGATAATTTTAAAGAAGTCGTATGAGCCTTAGCATTTGTCTCCCCTAATAAAAGCCACTATGCTTAACAAAAATATCAGTTGTTCCATTTCATGCTATATTTTGTACTGTTTCAATAAAAGTATTATTGAAATATAATACAATAACAGTTATAAAAGGACCAATTAATGTGTAGTCTCATGTATTAACTGGAGTGCCTTCTCATATGAGGAAATCAATGAATCTGATTCATGCGTTTCTAATCGGTTTCATAAGTATGCCAGCATTGCTTAGTGTGTATTTTTAATCACAGTGCAATTTATGAATTTGAATTGCAAAGCATAATTTTGAAGGAGCATTAAAAATCTTTTCACTAGCATTGTTCCTTCTTGTCTTAAATGTAGCATTTGAAGTGAAATTTCCTATTCCTCCTTCATCCTCGCTGTTCAGGCAGTTGTAACCATCTCTGTAAGACCTCCGGGGTCAGGGGGAAGTTTTTTTCCTGAGGGAAAACTTGATGAATAACAACTTTCTGGTATTAAGATGCTATGATCTGGTCACTGTGACATTGTTGTACTTTAGTTTAAAACCCAGACTTCGAGCTTACATAATCAAAATCATTTTACATGCTTCAAGTATCTCAGCATGCCTATTAATGCCAAATTAGGCAGAGCTTGAAAACAGATCAGAATTTAAAATAGCCACATTCCCTATGGAATTAAAATTTTAAAGCTCTTCTAATGCTTTAAAATTGCCCTTCATATTTTTCTGACATTGTTAATCTCCTCAAAATATGAACACATCCAAGTAATGTCTGATTTCCATTTGGAAGAACATACTACTTCCAAAAATTCAGACTTATTTTTAATTTTAACTATCTTGGCGTAAACTGTCAATGTCTCTTATCTTTGTTTTATGGGTTTTCTTTTTGTTGAGCAACTTGGTTCTAGCTTCAAGTGCCTGTTAAATTTCAAAAGTGTTTTCTTAGATACAGATAATAGTTTCTTAAAGAGACAAATGCAAAGTCATCTTTGTATTATAGTTACAGATTTAGGATTTGCTGTTGTAAAAATGTAATTCATTCACAGAATTACAATCAGTACATGTGTTCCTAACGATGTCTCCTCAATCTCCATGTGTTTTGTTAAATAATGAAAGTGTACATTTTTAATAAATCCACTTTGATAAGCTAGGTATATACATTTATATTATTTAGGTATATCAGTACCTACTTCATTAAACTAGCCTAAGTGGTAAGCAAGCAGTAAACTCTTTTTTCATGTAAACCTCAATTTTTGTTATACTACTCTTTATTCCAGTAACGAACTGTAACTTTTTACAAATGTAGTAATTCTTTTCCTTTTAAACAGTCTGAGGATTATTCCCTTCTGATTGAGAATTTAGTGAACTAATTTAAGATTTGAAAGACTGTTTACAATATGAATGTATGTAAAGCTACAGCCATAAAGGCTGTTTCGGAATATCAGATGTCAGAAAAGACTAAGTAACAATTCATCTAAAATAATACATTTGGAGTAAATATTCAGAATTGGGGCAGATAAGTAAAAAGACATAAACTGGAATAATTCTTTGGAATGTTCTGAAAAAGAGCGGTATTTTTTTTTAAATAGCAATGAGTGAAAAGATTTAAGTCTAGTAGTGAGGATTTTGAGTTCTTCAGCAGTAAAGATGCAGACAGTATTTTGAATCTAGTGAAATCAGGAAAGCTATAACATTTAGAAGCTCTGAGTAGAAAGATGAAATATCTGGGATGAATAGAGAAAGCACAATGCTATGGGTGAGATTATTTAATCTGTACTGTCTGCAGTATTCCCCATGAGCAATATTATGAGGGCATAAACATGGTCTCTAAGAACAGAAAAAGAATCTAAAAACTGATCTTTTTTTAAATCCATTAAGTGATTCTGTATTTAGATAAGGAACAAAGGAGAAGTAAGGAAATATCAAGAGGAGATGAATTGTTGTAAGGTGCTTGTGATGCCCAAATAAGAAGTGATATTAAGAATTTGGATAATCCATTTATGAGATCAGCAAAAAGATTTGATGTGCAAACATAGTGAAGTTAAACTAGGACTGTTAAACTTAACTTTTCACTGGTGCAAACTTATTTATTTCTAATGCTATCTACAGAAGGACACAAAATACAGGGAAGACTTCTTCGCAATCTAAGCCTTTTTTTTTTCTTCTAGCTTATTAGTGAGATTAACTTTAGAAAAATTGTAAGGTGGACATTCTTCTCTGCTAAAATCTGGAAGAGTGAGGGACAGTGATTTGTTGACAATAAGTCATATGGTTTTGAGGCAAGTGATTCCCAAAAATCTAGCTTTCCCTCTTGTTAAATCCTTTTAATCTTAAATTAACAGCTACTGACTTAAAGATTAATTATATAATGATTTACCACCTTCATGTTCAGATTTTTTAGGCATTTACAGTTACACTATCTAAAATCCAGTAAGAATTTTTGACAGATGGTGAAAAACTTAGTCTGGATAAAAGGAGAATGCTGCTTCTAATTTTTACATCAAAAAAGATGTAATGAAGTAAATTGGAAATTCTTTGTTTTACTTCTACCTTGAACAGGTCTTAATTCTCCTGTGGTCTTGTATTTCTTATAATGCCTACATATGTGTCTCATTACAATCATTTGTATAAATTTAGTTAAAGGAGATAAAAATCTAGCTGTTTTGTTCATTTCATAAATCTTATCCTTTTGGTCTTCCAGATTCTTATAAACAAATCAATGACCACACCACATGAACCCTATGTAACAATCAGTGACTCATTTTGGCCACCTTATATTGAGCTGCTGCTGCGATATGGAATTGCCCTGAGACATCCAGAAGATCCAAACAGAATACGCCTAGAAGCCTTTCACATGTAGTGTGACCTACATGCTTACTTTAAAACAAACAAAGCACCAGTACTCTTACTTGGGGGCTAAGACATACTTATGTTTATGATAAGGTTTTTTCATATCAGCAACCTCTTCTTGTTGGATAATTGGATTATTCTTTTTCTTATTAAATAAAGTGTATATCTTGTCTTCTCTCATATTTCACACTCTGACCAAAAATCCTATTTTAACTGCTCAGAGATACAGTTGGCTTTCAGTTTTATGGCAAGTGATGCCAAGATTTGCATTCTGGAGCGTTTTTTCAATTGCTTTAATAAGATGCAAATTCAGGTAAGGCATAAAGTAAAGATAGAATCATAGAATCATTAAGGTTGGAAGAGACCTCCAAGATCATCGAGTCCAACCATCAACCCAACAACACCATGCCCACTAAACCATGTCCCTAAGCGCCTCATCTACCCGTCTTTTAAATACTTCCAGGGATGGTGACTCAACCACTTCCCTGGGC